CATTGGTATGTTTTGATGTACAGTCAATCTAGAAATGTAAAGATGGAAAATGATACACAAAAGTGGATATGTCTGCCTTCCTGTGAACTAGCCTAAAAACTACGGCCAATATTGAGAAAATGGAATATTCAGGTAAACATGAAGGAAAAAACAACACTCTTCACAAATCTGAAAAGAGAAATATATTGGCGGAACAGGGAGATCAATCAGTAGCATCCGAATCAAGGAACATCAAAGGCTCTGCATGAGAATGGATAGCGAGAGATGATATATAGCGGAACACATCTTCTGGAATAGGGACCAGATCAATTTGAAGGCAAAAGCAAGAAGGGCCTCATATCAGACAAAAAGGCCACGCCTGGATCGAGGATCTATCGTAGACCAGAGGAAAAGTGATCCCAAGAAGAAGAGGCTGAGGAAAGTTATGAAATAAAGCGAAGACGTTGTCAGTGAGTGTAGTCTACTCAAAGAAATAACTACAACTTTGGGGCCTGATGATCACGAGACTGGGGCGAACGATGCTCACAACCGTCACAGAAATTCGGCATTATAGCCGAATCGACTAATAATTCCCTCGAGATGGAGTAAGCGGCCAGAAATAGAAGTGCCCAGTTTGCTCAGAGTACACAGGTTTAATCAAGGAGATGATGCAATAAGGCAATGCCTACTATCCGCAAGCACAAGAACCAGAGACTAGGCGACATTGTATGTGCTACTGGAGGGTTGAGAGATAGCGTCTGGAGTAGAAAGTACACCGGGGTTGGAAGAGAGTGAAATCGGTCAACCAGAAGATCAGAAACGGATCTATGCGCCCATTGAGGCAGATCCGGATAGGAGGCCCGAGTCGGATCAACCACTTGAAAGGTAGCGATGGAATGTACACAAGTCAGAAGTTGGGATAGGGCGAAAGTGGTACAAGAGGGTAGAGAGTATATAGATGGGCCAGGAGAGAAAAAAGAGCGATAGCACAACCGTTTTGGCAGAAATTTGGTCTAAGGCAGTGGTTCCCAAACTTTTCCCAGTCGCGGCGCCCTTTTTCAATTAAAATTTTTCCGTGGCGCCCCAACCTAATTATGACTATTCGTAAGTAAGAGATAAAAATAAATGAAACTCGTGTATCTTCATTATTGTTTTTTACTTTATTACCATTAAATTAATATTTTTATAATTAATGTGATGGATGAGCCTGCAAATCACTTGATGTTTTTACAATATTTCGCGGCGCACAGTTTGGAAATCACTGGTTTAAGGAATAGACTTCACTTGCCTCTTTGACTAGTTGTAGCCCAGAGTGGTTCTGAGAATGGCAAGATTCGCTGGTGATGCGGACTGCGATGCCAAGTTCACGTTTCGATGCTGGGAATTATGATAGCTACTATGGCTGAGAACTTAGAAAAAGGAGCGTCAAACTTAGTCGCCCTGACAATATCGCCAAGTTGCAAAATCGAGGTCAGACTATGTCAAGATTAATTTTAAATATGAAGACCAAGAAGGTGTGGCCGCCAGTATGGTCGAAGTCTTCTTTCGATTTATAGAAGCGGGCTTACTTCGTTGTCGCAACTTGGTCTTGTTGTCAGGGCAACTTAGTAGAACACACCTTATCCGATGTCTTCTGTCATAGTAGTTATCATAATTCCCAGCATCAAGAAGTGGGCTTCGTACATTGTCAGACTAATTTTAATTCAACGGTGTCGTGAGACCTGCTTATAGCAACGGGAAAAAGCCCAATTATCAACCCCTAACTCACCGTAAGCTACATCGGGTGGTTGCTATGTTATTAGGTAGTCTTTTTGCTTATCTGACATACGAACCAAAAACCGTTTATTTGAGGCTAACTTTGTATGATTCATTGTGAACTTGGGGATTCGTTCAAAGAGGCAACTCAGATAGCTTATAACAATAAGCAATCCACATGACTTTACTTCACTCTTTCCTGGCTGGATTTGAGAAAAATCTGTAAGGTTCTACTACCAGACTTCAATGCAAACCTTACTATATTTTATGCCAACTCGCTGTAATTAGTATTGTCCTTACTCTTTGCCAGTTAAATTTTCCCCTCATCCTCTTTAGTCGCTCATACTTTCCCTCTATCCACACGACTATCTGCCCCTGTAAATTGCAATGCTTATTACCACATTCTCTCCTCACTTCCTATCATATTTTCTCGCAATTTTCGCTTTTAATGTCTACTCTTTTGTACATTTGGCCTTTTATCTATAGTTACGTAAGTCATTATGCATGCCTGTCTGTGTGCATTTTGCTGTCAGATGGTCTTTATATCGGAGCACAAAGAAATGGCGACCTTGAGATTAGGCTGCAGCTAACCAAGCAACATTTAACTTTCTGAGCTATTTTATTGAATATGACTGGCCCATTAATGTGGAACGAGTGTCTGCGACAGAAATAGTGGATACGAGGATCTCGGTTAACAGAATACGACATCATCTCAAAATCCCAATGTGAATTTCGAAATGCCTCTCGAAGTAGTGCATATAACTTTTGTACAGATGTACCAATTTCGACTGATAACGACGGCGACTCCTGATGGCTGTGCAATAACGCTTTAGCTAATGAAAAAGGTAGTAGTGTATCGAAGTGAATAGCAAACATACGGTTGTCTATCTGTACAAAATTCTCCACCAATTTATGCGAAAGTTGGAAGCCATACTCGCATTCTAATGGAGTGGGGCCGGGGTTGTGTGACTGGGGCGGGAAGCCATTTTGCCGTTTGCCCATTGCATCCACGATTTGGATCCTGCTGCCTCCGGTGATAGGAAGCTGAGGCATAATTGAAGCTGTAGTCAAACCTGGAAGAGAATGGTCTTCTGGTGTGCATGACAGGACAAAATCAAGCAGATCGTCCAATACAAAAAAACCGTCGAAATTGGTACACCTCTGCAGCAATCAGGCTCCAGGTAGCTGGGCAACAAATCGGTTACTAGAGTAACTGGGTCAGAGACATGCTTCTTGGTGTGTTGGAGTTTGAAGACAGATTGAAAGACATGTATTGAGCAAAAGGCAGATGTGGAAGTGACAGAGAGCCTAAATTATCTTTCACTTGGGCAAATGATAACATATTATACAGCTGGGTTTCGAAGAACCCCCCTAATGAATTAGTGCGGCTTGACTTTCCATTTCTAAGGAAAAGTCGGTTGACATTTGTCAATTGATCTCAACGGAAATTGAACGAGTATTGGCTGGTGTGGAGTGGAGACTGATGAATTATGCCAAGACGCCTTCTACTGACTGTCCTGCGACTTCGATGAACCAATTCTGTAAACGAAAAATCATATTCTTCAACAATGGAAAGGCGGGCAACTCATTCGTCGTCTCATGTCTCTCGATTGCGGTACATTCTCTTCAAAAAGCTCATTTTTAGAGCAAATCCTTTATGCTGCCAAAGCCGAATGTTGGTTGCCGGACTAGCCGATGTCAGAAGACCGGGCCAGTTGTGAGTGGTTCGTCGAAAAAATTGCGGAAATTGTCTGTCCAAAAAGCGACTGCTGACAGATGGGATGAGAATCGCTTACGTAGCCATCAGCGCGCAAATCCCGTTGTCATTTGGAGCAGTACGATCGAGTCTGACTGAGCTTAACATGCGTGATTTCCCGATGATGTAATATAAAGTATTATTATAGGCCCCTTTACTGCCCATAATTTATACAAATTGCTCCTTCAGTCAGCCTAGAATGCTTCTCCGGCCTCGCCGAGGCCTCAGCAGCACTCACTAGAACCCGACCCGGGCCATACAGGTCCAGATATAAACATAGCACCGCCACACACATTATAAAATGCACTGGAGGTCTTTGATTGTCTCCACCTTCTACAAGACCTAGCATTTAGAGGGCACCGCTCAGCACATTTTTGTGATATTCATGGTGCTAGCA